CCATGTCATATAGTTCTTTCCCGAAATTTCAAGGGCAACAAACTTTCTTTTCATAATATCAGTCATAACTAAAAGAGGAGAAAAGTTGTACCTTAATCTTCTTGAGACGGTAGAGTCTCGTGCTGATAACGTGTGATAAAACAATAAAAGTAGAAGAACAATATTGCAGAAAAAGAGAGAGGAAATTCTTATTGAATTTTGGGATGATTTATAATGGGGTAAGACCCCTCTATTTATAGGGGAAAAATGACTTAGCCACAAAGTAAAACTTTCTACAAGATAAACATTCACTCTAAATAGAATGAAATAGAGGAAATTCTGTTTTTTGTTTTTAAAAAAATATCCACGCTTCACAAAAGTTTACCATTACATTAAAGTCTGGTGTACAGACTACAGTCCTTAGATCACCATAGTCTTGGACTTTTGGAAATGAAAACTCCCATACATAATACACATCTTTGCCCCAAAGGAAGGAATTGTATGGAAAAAACCTTTTAATCAACAGAAAAACAGCCTTTGGAGGACTGCATATGCAAACAATAAATAAACCAGCACTAGTCGAGTGACTTTGTACTTAATTTTACCAAGAAAACTAGATGCATCTTCTATTTATATCAATTTGTGATTTTCCGTACTATATTTTATATGCCTCGTTATTAGCTACATAATTTTATACTCCAATTAAGAACCTGAAATTTTCAGTAGGCCAACCTGACCATGAACGATCTTTATCAAAATTATTTTGCCTCCTAAAGGGAGTATATTTCGTCTCCATTGACTTAATATTTTTTTTTGGTGCGAATGAAGGATCAAAGATTTATTAATTACTAATATACATCATACACAAATTTAGCGTGAGTTTGGACTACATTATATTCAATAGAGTTTAAATTATATATATTGTTAGTGTAAAGAACTTTTTATATTATCCTAAAAATTCTCTTGACTTAACTTTCTAGCTTGTAACATGGTCAAGAAGTAGCAAAAGCGACTTCATTAAAAATATATCGGACAACTAAGATATTTGATTTCAGCAGATAGATTTGTTCAGAAAAGCCAGCAAGTGATGGATACTTGATTCAGTAAGCAAAAATTACGTAGTTTAATCAATCGAAAGTATACACGATAATTATGATATTTTATTTGGCTTATAAATAAATTACTAGGAGTGTTAATGATTCGATTCGGCAGGCTGTTTTATAAAATTTATAACATATCAGTTTTTCAATTACTTATTTCGTATAATCAAAATTAGACTTTTCGAAATCGTCCCACTCAACTCAGTTTCTCTTCGGTATTGGTCGGCTCGACTAATTTTTTGTATTCTTTTAAATATCATGTAAATGTTGCTAATAAAAGTTAGAATGCGATAACATATCTGTATACTTGTATAGGACTTGGCAAAATCTATAAATATTTTACTATTTATAAGGTGATGAATCAAGAAAACATGAAAAATGGTCAGAATAGAGATCCATTTTACTATTATACAACAGAGTAAAAGAAATTAAGCAAAGATAAGAGAAATATAAATCTCACGAGTAAAAAGATATTAATCAAATTGTGATTCAAGAATAGAGTTTATAGAAGATTAAATATTCAAAAAGAGAAATCTAAATCATATGAGAGGAAACATATTCAACTCATTGTAGTTTTCTACTCACAATCGCAAGAATATCTTGTGTCCTGCTACTCAATATGTCCGAACTAATTCCGTTTCAATAGGAGTATCAGAATAGGTTTGAAAGTTGGAATTTTGAATTTTAATTATTTGTTGGCTTGTAATTACTGATTTCATAATCCAAGGCCCAAGGAAAATATTTAATGGTTTATAATTTTTTGAAACTTAATATATAAAATATATTTTCTATATGCAAATTGATTTGCTACGATTCGATACTTTTTCATAAATTTAATTTAAAATCTACTAATTATTCACTGCGATTATATATTTATATAAATCTATACGATTTTATCAAGATAAATCTAATAATTGGTTCGGTTGATCGATTTATAACTAACATAGCTAAGACAGATTAGATCGTTAGTGCACAATTAGGCAGTTAGTTAATTCCTTCACACACACACACCCTCAAGCTAGGAGCTATGAAGATGTTCTTCATGCCTAGCTTGGATAGCAAATAATGATGTTGAGTGACACCCAAGCCCTTAGTAAGAATATCTGCATGTTGCTCTAAAGAGGGGAGATATATTAGATGAACGAGCCCAAGTTGCACCTTCTCGCAAATGAAATGACAGTCGATATCAATATGTTTTGTGTGCTCATGAAACATAGGATTAGCAGCAATTTGAATTGCTGACTTACTGTCACATAGCAAAGAAACTGGTTGTTGAACGTGCACTCCTAATTCCTCAAACAAACTAGTCACCCATACTATTTCTGTAAATGTTGATGCCAAGCTTCGATACTCTGCCTCAGCTGAGCTTCTGGATATAGTAATTTATTTCTTCGACTTCCATGAGATCAAAGAGCTCCCAAACTTAATCAAATACCCGGTAATGGATCTCCTAGTGTTTGAGCAAGATGCCCAATCTGCATCACAATAGGCTGTAACCTGAGATGAAGCATCTGCATACATTAATATCCCCAAGCCTGGAGACTGCTTGACATACTTAATCACCTTGATGGTAGCCTCCATATGGGATGTTTTAGGACAATGCATGAACTGACTTAAGTACTGCACTGCAAATACAATATCTGGTCTAGTCATGGTTAGATAGAGAAGTCTCCCAGCCAACCTTTGATAAGCACTAGGATCATGAAGAACTTTGTCATCTTCAATCCCAAACTGAGTGTCAAACTCCAATGTTGTAAGCTTCTTGTTCACCTCCAAAGGTGCCTTGAGTGGCTTTGCACCTGAGAGTCCCATGTCTGATATGAGTTCTAATGCATATTTTCTTTGATGCATCAGAATTCCCTCTTTGCTTCTAGCAAATTCAATTCCTAAGAAAAACTTCAACTCCCCAAAGTCTTTGATTTTAAAGACTTATTGTAAGTACTCTTTAGTCTCCTGTATTAAGATGACATCATCTCCTATGATTAACAGGTCATCAACATCAACTAAGACCACCACTATTTTCCCTTGAACCTTTCTGGTGAATAAGGAATAGTCTAAATGACTCTGACAGAACCTAGAAGCTATCAATGTAGATGTTAACTTGATGTTCCACTGTCGAGAAGCTTGCTTGAACCCATACAGTGATTTGAGTAGTCGACAAACATGATGTTGTCCTTCACAAACAAATCCTTGAGGCAACTCCATATAAACTTCTTCAGTTAAATCACCTTGCAAAAAAGCATTGTAGACATCCATTTGATGAATCTCCCAGTTATTCATTGCTGCTAGCGAAACAACAGTCCTCACTGTTACCATCTTGACAACAGGTGAGAATGTTTCTTGATAATCCAATACCTCTCTTTGGCTATACCCTTTTTGGACTAACATTGCCTTAAACCTTTCCACTTCACCTGTAGCTTTGTATTTAATCTTGTATACCCATAGACAACTAATGGCCCTCTTTCCTGGTGGCAAAGACATCACTGTCCATGTATTGTTGTCTTGCAATGCCTTGATCTCATTTTGCATTGCTTCTATCCATCTGTCATCCTTGATTGCTTCTGCATAATTCTTGGGCTCAATTTCTGCAGAGAATTTGGTGATGAAGCTTTGATACTTGGAGGACAAGGAGTCATAACTAATGACATCTGAGATTGGGTATAAACAAGCATGTACTCCTGACTGTTTATCAGTCCTCACATAGTCTTTAAGCCAAATAGGTGGCGTAGTTGTTCTCCCTGATCTTCTTTCAGGCAATGCTGTTGTTTGATGTTCTTCTACTGCTCCTGTGTGTCCAACTGAGTCTGTCACATCTTCATATGGGGAATGAAAATCATGGTTCTCTTGATCAATATTTGCTGATGCACCTTGAATTTGCTGTGAAGTAGAATCTGCAGCATTATGATTATGTAGAATGTTTCTACTTGCAATATCTAACTCATCCACCACACAAAACCTTTTCAAGCTTGTAATGTCAGGACTTTGAAAGTTTTGCTTTTCATGAGTATCCTGGAAAGGGAATATGCTCTCACGAAATACAACATCTCTACTAATAAAACACACTTTATTAGACAAATCAAATAGTTTGTATCCTTTATGATGAACTCCATATCCTAGTAACACTGATTTCACTGCTCGTGGACCAAACTTGTCCTGTTTAGGCAAAACAATTGCATAATAAAGCCAGTCTATCACCCTCATGTGAGCCAAAGAAGGTGTCATACTGTACAATGCTTCAAAATGTGATCTACCTTTCAAAATAGTAGATGATACCCTGTTTATTATATATGCTGCTGCCTCAACACATGTGCCCCAGAATCGAATTGGCAAATTAGACTGGAATCTGATTGCTCTTGTTGTTTCTAAGATATGCCTATGTTTCCTTTCCACCACTCCATTCTGCCGAGGAGTGTAAGGATAGGAACTCCGATGCAAAATTCAATGGCATGTAAACAATTCCTTACAAGTTATGTTAAAAAACTCAGATCCATTGTCTGACCTGAAGACTTTAATCATCTTTCCAAATTGGTTAAGGATCATTACAATAAATGTTTTGAGCAACTCAGATACATCAGATTTTACTCTCATTAAGAAAATCCATGTCCACCTCGTATGATCATCTACCAATGTCAAAAAGTAATTCATTCCATTATAGGTTGGGACCTTATAAGAGCCCCATACATCCATGTGTATCAAATCAAAAGGTTAACAGAGAATAGCAATCTTGTTTGTCTAGACAATGGATACACATCACAATGTTGTAGATGAAAAACATCTTTATTTCTAAAACTAGAAATCTTTCTAATAACTACCATGGGCACATGGCCTAATCTCCTGTGCCAAATCTCAGGTTCTTCCATCTGTTCCACTGTCATAGCCTTTGCTCCATTTATTCTAGATTTCTTATGGTGTGTCCTTAGAATGTACAAATCATCTTCCCTACTACCAGTCGCCTTCACTTTCCCAGGGCAAAGATCCTGAAATATGAAGTGTTCAGGAAAAAACATTGCACAACAATTCAGTTCCTTGGTCAATTTAGACATTGACAATATATTGAACTTAAAACTTAGTATACAAATTACATCCTTAAGGGTATCACCTCCTTCCAAAGGACTGTTTCCTATCTTGGTCACTTTAGCAGACTCTCCTGTGGGCATTTGCACATTTCCAGCACTTCCTACTTTACCATCATCCAACAACAAACTTTTATATCCTGTCATATGATTCGTAGCTCCTGTGTCCACTATCCAATATATTGCATTATCTTTAACAAGAAAACACTTACCCGCTAAGTTTGCACTTGTTTTAGATGTGGAAGCCTTGCTAAGCATGTTGAGCAACATATTGTATTGTTCCTGTGTGATCATTGGAGCAGCAGTGTTAGTAGAATTGATGTTTCCTTGATTGGTTGCATTAGTCTCAGGTTGCATAGAATGTCCATCCACCACATTAGCTCTGGCCTTGGACTTAAAGCCTGCATGATATCCAATCAGCTTGTAGCAGTTTTCCTTAAGATGACCCTTCTTGTTGCAGTAGCCACAATGAATCAGCTTGAAACATCCATCTCTTGTGTGACCCTTTCCATTACAATAGTCACATTCCATACCCCAACTTCTCTTCTGTTTAGATACATTATTTCTGGCTGTGAATAATGCAGCTGATTCCAGTGTTTCAGTTGTGACATAGTTACTTCTTGCCACAAGCTTTTGGCTCTCATCTTGAACAATCAAGGCATACACTTGATTCACATTAATCACTTTGGATTTCATTAAGATTTGACTCCTTGCCTGACTATAACCTTCATTCAGTCCCATTAAAAACTGTAATAGGCGCTGATACTGTAAATGCACTGCAAAATCTTTTGATTTCTCATAGTCACATGAAGGAGGTGGCATCACTGAGTCATATTCATCACATAAATCCTTCAACCTTGAATAGTACACTGACACAGACGATGTTCCTTGCGTTAAAGTAAAGATCTCCTTGTGAAGAGAATACAAACGTGATCCATTCACTTTATTGAACCTCTCTTGCAATTCCTTCCAAACTAGGAGTGCATTAGAACGAAACAGAATTCTACTTAGCAATTCTTTGCTCACGTTTCCAGTAAGCCATGAGACTACTATCGCATTACACCTATCCCACTGATGTCCTAAAGATGGTCCAAAAGTATCCCTAGTGATTATGCCATCAATAAAACCTAGCTTATTTCTTCCTAGAAGCGCAACTCTCATTGCTCGATCCCACAAAGTGTAGTTTTCCATTCCTATAAGCTGAATACCAACTGATAAGGACCCAGGGGCATCAGAAGGATGAAGATACAGGGGATGATTGTGATCAATCACCACCGGAGCTGGAACAGAGGTTCCTGAATCGGATCCATCCTCAATCGTCATGATTATTCAGTAACAAATTCAGTCAATTACAGATGAAGAGAAGAATTTCCAATCAAAACAGAAATCAGAAACAAAATTTATCAATTAAATCTAGGGCTTGCTACAACTCAGATCAGAAATCATTTTCTTACAGAATTGTCAATAAATCTCTCGATCGTCTTCAATCCGCGAAGAAAAATCCTTAGATGTAGCTGACGAAACCTCGCTCTAATACCATGAAGAAACTCACAGAGATTCTGATCGATATTGAAGCAGAGCAAACACAAATGAGGGAAAAAGAACGCATGCAGAGTTTTGGAGAGAATTTTCTGTTCATTATCAATGGAACAGTAGTACAAATGAGCTAATTACACACACACACACACACACATATATATATAATGCTAGCTAGTGCCAGCTGTCTAACTAACCTCCACTACTTCCACTACCAACATAATTAACTAATAACTAATTACACTGCACTAACTAACATAACTAAGACAGATTAGATCGTTAGTGCACAGTTAGGCAGTTAGTTAATTCCTTCACAAGTCGGTTTTAAAATGCATTTATACCCCTGTATTTAGATTACGTATGTGAATTCTTCTATTTTCAAGCATTAGTACATATAACTTTTTAAATTCAAATATAACAGGGTTGATTAAAAATAAATTTATATTATTAAGAAGCTTACCAAAATCATTATGGATTTACTTTCGCAAGCTTCACATTGTAAGTTCTTCTACATGTGCTTGTACTAGTAACTTGTTAACATGTAAATGTCTAAAATATCAGAATCGATGCAATTTAGGCATGATTCTAATTGCAACGGTAAAATAAGTCATATTTGTTTAATAATTAATTCTTAGACCAAATTGACATTGTTGATAATGGTAATAGTTACATGGATTAATTATGATCACATCTACAGAAGTATTAAAAGAATCTAACAGATAACCATATCACTACAAACAACTATTCAAAAATTGGCCAAATTTTTATAAAGAATTGTCCTAATGTGGTGAATGAAAATCTATTTTCCTACTAAAAGAGTAATCTGTCAACTAATTGCATCCAAATCTTCAAAAGGCACCTTTTCTCAATTTTAGCTATATATATCTCCCTATAAACCAGTCCTCAAACCACACTGTTTTTCAATATTTTTGAGTCCCTTGAGTAAATTCTCTCCTTTTTTCTTGCTTATAGAGAAAATGGCTTCTTCAGGAATTAACAACTGTCGTGATTTAATTCCTTATGTCCCAATCAATTTTTCTAAAATCGGGGTACGTTGTCTTTCAACCAAGACTATTCTTTCGAAAGTGATTTTTTTAAGTGTTTCCTATAAATTACTTAGATCGTTTGGACAATTTTTTTGGGAATTATTTTTCTTAGAAAAAGTTTTCTTACACAAAGAAAACGGTTTTCTTGGTTTTTCTTTTCAAGAAATGGTTGCAAAATCAAACGTCGATTGGCATTTTAGAGAAAAACATAGCAGGAGTTGTTATGAATTATGTAAATTAATTACTGTTATAAGATTTAAATAAGACCAAATTCTAAAGAACTTGATATAAATTTTAATAATTATTTTGTAACTTTTTTATGCATCCTTTACAGGATGAAGAGAAACAAAAACCTCATGATATCACAAAATGGGTGTTAGTACCATCTGGAGAATCAAGTCATCCACTGGAGGATGTTGCGATAACAACAGTAATACTACTACAACTTATTCCTTTTCGTTCTCTTGCTTTGTGCTTTACCTTTTATTATCTTATACCTATATATGTTGCGATATTAGCTTATAGAAAACAATTTTAGAGGTGCATATATAGATTTAATTTTGACAAATTCTGTCACAATCTTTATGCCTCATTTTGGGTTTGATTTTAGAGAACAAAATTTTGTATAAATCCAAAGGTCTTTATTTTTATTTTTTCGGAAGTATTTTTGAATGTTTTTTCCCAAGCCAAACAGGAATTGATTTTTTGGAAAAGAAAAAACAAAAATAGCAAAGGAATTGGCCAAAATATTTTCTCTTTTGTTTTTTTGCATATATTTTTTGTCTGTCAAAAAGATGGCGAGCAATCACATTATTATAATTTCCCCGATTAGTGTTTATTTTGATCAGATAAACAAGCACATGATATATCAGATCTAAAACAATAGTAATTTCAATTTTCTATGTTATTAAAAAGAAAGATAAGAATAGATTTATTTGTAGTTAGGGTTCTTTTCTTCTTTTACATTGTCTTTGTTAAAGCGTGGTCCTAACATTAACGGCTAGATTTGTTTGTGGAGTTTTATCAAATACTAATGCAATATTACAAGAATCTAACAGATTATCAAAATGACTAGTATGCCTTAATGATGCAATCTACACATTTGTTATTTGATTTAAAATGGTCTTAAGTAAAAACAATAATTACACTGTTTCCGTTATAAATAAAGTTAATTGACCACCTAAAGGTCATAAGTGCAAGCACATCTAGTTTAACCACATTTAAAGGTAAATTTGTCTTTCATTAATTCTTAAGATACATCTTACATATTCGCTTTTGTATGTATTACCCCTCATATAAAAAACTTAAGGACACTTTGTGCAAATTTTTTTTTTGGTCTTTTTATCTTTGTTAAATTTTGTAGAAATTTATTCTTCAAACTTTTTTTCTCTTCGAGGTAAAGTTAGAGGTAGATCCAAGATTTTAATTGTACTTAGCGTACAACATATAAATAAATTCTTTATTGTAGTATAAACTTGAGTTGAAAGTGCTGTCAAAAATGTATTCTGCCCATAATAATTTGATTATGAAATTTAATGAATCGAACATTTTTAGTTCACATCATGATAATTTCAATTTATGTTTATTCCAATATGTAATAAAGATGTGTTTTTACAGCTCGCATCAACTTCTACACCACAGGAACCACAAGAGCAGAATTCTCTCCATCTGATATCTCAAGCGATTGACCAAACAATGGTGACTCGGGTATGATTATTATTATTATTATTATTAATAATTTTTTTTTCTTTGCTTGTTGTTTAGTGATGTTACTTTATGATCTCAGATTTATTTTTCCATTGACATTTTGTGCGATGATATATTTATTTATTACTATCATTTTAGTATATTATTTTTCGCATTCTCATACATATTGTCACAAATCAGTAGAGAGCCAAATTTTTGGTATGCTTAGACATTTACCGGATGTATTTTCACAGTTCTTTTTCTTAGTTTCTTAATTAGTTTGTCTATTACACTAAAGGACTGAGAATTAGGGCTATCATTTTCCAGATAATTAGTGTCTGTAGCAATCAAATATCTTAAATTACAATTTTTCTATTGCAGAATGAGCCTGTAACTCCTCAGCAACTCACTACGAGGAAGAGAAGGTTGGTTAATGCTCAAGTCCTAGGCTACACTCCTGTTAGCTTCGTAATTCTACCTTCAGAAAGCGAAGCTACCACTTATACAGTAAAATTGAATAAGGTTAGTCCATTTGGTTTTTAAGATTTTTCCTGTGTAAATTTCAATAGTTCAAGGTTTTTTCTTACAACTTTGTCATATTTATAAGACAACTAATGTTGTTAAATACTTTGTTATGTACTCTGAATTATAGACGGGAGAACAACCAAACGATCCATTTGGACTCAATAGCAAATACAATGACATACTGCATGGATGGACTGCTGAAACAAGACAACGTCCAAATGGACATTGCGATATGGTAACTACGTGTATTGTTAGTGCATAGAACTTAATTAAACTTTTATTTTAATTTGCTGGTTAAATCTTGATCCTAAAAACTAGACATTATAAACAGAGATAAGTCAAGAAAATGAAGAATGAAGAATCAAACTTCTAATTTTATGCTAATAATATTGTACTTAATAATTGCAATCTTAAGAAAAACCTTGTTGTGTTGCAGTTTTACTACCATGAGAAAAGAAATGCTGAATGCCGGTCTGTGGCGGATGTAAGAAGGTTCATATTCAAGGGTTTCGAGAAACTGAAGGTAGAAGTAGATCCAGAAACCAATGAAGTAAAAGAGTATAGGGTAAGCTATTAATTTTTTGACAAACATAAACTTTAAAGAAATTTCTTTATTATATTGTTACACAATTCTTACAACAGCATTTTGATTAAACTAAGGTTGAGAAACACACCAAGAAAAGAAAAGCACAATCTTCAAGCTCAGGGAAAGAACCTGCAGCAAAGAAACAAAAGGGCAGTAGTAGTGTACTGCCTGTTGGAAGTGAAGTGATGGCGACCGAAAAGCCTGGTGCGATTGCATACAACAACCTCATGAACTCAGATAATCAACACAAAGAAGAGAATGTAGCAAGCGAGTTTGTCGTAAGTTGTTACATTAAATTATGAGTTATTACAAGTAGAGTTTAAGTTATCCGTAAAGGCTCGTTTGGTACGAGAGACAAGGAATAATTTATTCCTGGATTAAATTTGAGATGAGTTTATCTCACATTTGGTTGAAACAAATGGCAGTATAATTAATCCCGAAAATAGTTATCCCAAGATTGTAGTATTATTTTTATCCCTATAGGAGGGTTGAATAACAATTCCGGAATGACTAATTCTAGGATAATTAATCATGAGATAACTTATCTCTTAACCAAACGACCCTTAATTGTAAAGAAGTTTTACCTCATAAGGTCACTTTAAGGTTATATATAGGTAAGCCTTCTGAACCTTGAAAATAAGACTGCAATAACAGGTAATTAAGGTGGCTTAATGGTGCAAGAAATACTTACACCGGCGTCGTGAATAAATTAAACTCTTACAAATATTGTTGGATTTTTACTTTACTTTATGCTTATAATTAACACTATGTTAATTAAACTATAGGTCGGAGAGGCTTCGGAAACACCCTCCAACAAAAGAAAGTTAGAATCTTCAAACTCGGATAGCAGCGAATCTGCAGCGAAAATTCAAAAGAGCAGTGCTGAAGAACCTATAATAGAAAGCAAAACCACACCAGAGGAACCATATAATCGTAGCAATTTT